GTGGGACAGTGGGACAGTGGTGGGGACGGCAGTGGTGGGGACAGTGGTGGGGACAATGGTGGGAACAGGGGGGGGCAGTGGACAGTGGTGGTGACGGTGGTGGTGGGGACAGTGGTGTGGGGACAATGGGAATGAGGTGGTAACAATGGGACAGTGGAGGGTACAATGGTGGTGGGGACAGTGGTGAAGGCGGTGGCGAGGACGGCGGCGGGACAATGGGACAGAGGTACAGTGGGGACAGTGGTGGGGACAGTGGGGACAGTGGTGGGAACAGTGGGACAGCTCAGTGGGACAGCGGAGGAGTCAGTGGGACAGTGGGGACAGCGGGGATAGTCGGGCAGTGGTTGGGGCCGTGGAGACAGTGGGGAGAGTGGAACCGTGGTGGGAACAGTTCTGGGGACAGCGGGGACAGTGCGACAGTGGTGGGGGCACTGGTGGGGACAGTAGGGGCGGTGGTGGAACCAGCGGGGACAGTGGTGGTGAGGACAGTGGCGCTGGGAACACAGTGGGGGATGTGATGCGGACAGTGGTGGGGGCCGGGAGTCGTTTGCTGGCGTGAGTAGGGGGGTGGGGGGGGGGGGGGGGGGGGGGGGGTTGGGGGGTTCGAACCGGTAGCGGCCCTTCCGGTTTTTCCAGATCCGGAGGGCGAGGGGGGGGGGAGGGGGGAGGGGCTCGAACCGGTAGTGACCCCACCCGGTTTTTCCGGATCCGGAGGGGGGGGGGAGGAGTTCGAACCGGCAGTGGCCCCCTCCCGGTTTTCGAGGGGAGGGGGGGGGGGAGGGGTTAGGGGAGGGGGGGGGGTTGCGGGGGGCAGGGCGGAGGGGGGGGGGGGGGCGATCAGGGGGGGGGATTTCGGAGGGGGGGGGGGGGGGGGGGGGGGGGCGACCCCCGGGCTCCGGGGGAAAAGGTTTGCAATTTTCCATAGTAAAGCGGCGGTGGATCACGCTCTCTCCAACATCGCGACCTCACGGGCGCAGACGCCGAGGCCCAGGCATCGAAGATGGTCACTGACATGTTTGTCAGCCTCAGAGGCGCACTGGCTCACGCCCTGATCGCACAAGCGTGGTTAATGGTAATGTTATATGGTCCAAGAACCGACCAACATGCATGTGCGACGACGGAACGCGATTGCCAGGAGGTCGCAGGCCTGCCCTAAGATGACCGCCTGCCAAGCGATGGCTCCAACGGGCGAGGTCGACCTGCACAGCGACTTTGGCTACCGGCGTCTCAGCGGAGATGCCGGGGGCGAGGCCGAAGGCCATTGCATTCGCGAGGCCGACCTGCTACGGCGTGGACACGCGCATGCTGGCAAGCCCGTCGCCCATCTTGTCGACGCGCACTGCAGGTCTCACAGCTTGCAGGTCGCTCGAGCTACTCAACGGAAACACTTGCAGCAGCCCGTAACTTGAAGGACTGCTATCCCACGATCGTCACTCGGCGCGAACTCCTCGCAGGGCCGCGGACGCCCATTCAGTTGAAGGATATGCTTGAGATGGGACGCCTGAGCATTGAGGTCATTTTGACCATCGACGCAGAATATGTCTTGAAGTCCTTGCCGAGCAAAGACCCGAAGAAACCGACTGAGCGTGCACTTCTGGGACGCATCAGTTGGATGCGACAGATGATGGAGCGAGGCGTCGTGCATTGTGCGCAGTGGTGACTTTCGCGACATGACCGCGGACGGCCACGCCAAACAGAGCATCGACAAAGACATGCCCCTACAAGTCGTGGGAGGAACGAAATCCTTCAAGCATGATTTAAAATCACACACTCCATGCAGGGCTGGCCAGACAACATCGTCTGAGCTGTCCGAGGAGCAGTCATCTGCAAGGTAACTTGCCCGCGAGGCAACTTGCTTGCAAGGGAACTTGCGCGCGGGTCAACCTTCCTTATTGAGCCCACCTGGTGCTGCCTACCTTGTGCAATTGAGTTGTTTGCTGCGCGGCTGGCGGCGGACTCACGCTTCGCCCCCCCCCCCCCCCCCCCCCCCCCCGACTCTGAAGGAGTTCGGGCAGAGGCGAGAGATGACGGGCATTTGTCCGTGGCCGTTTGTGCTCAAGCGGCCGGCCGCCAATGCGTGACTGCGCCTCGTCGCGAGGCGGACTATTTGCCATCGAGACCGAAAACATTTTCGCTTGACATGGCCCGTCGCCCCCGCGACGATCTCCTACTTCTCGGACGGGCTCCGCCTCAGGCGAATCGCATGGTTGGGCCCGCCAACCCCTTTTCAAACTTGCGATGTATAAGCCTCCGCGTCGGGCTGCAGTGGAACGGGCTCCATGGTCAGTCCCGCCGCCGCGCCCGTTACGGAGGACGCAGTCGCCCTTGGGACATCGACCTCACATTGGTCTCCAAGCGTTATTTTCGGACGAAAGTTTCCTGAAGTGCGACAGTGAAGCACTGAAGCGGTCACGGTGTTTGGTGAGGACGTTCCTGTTACCGCCAGACTGGTGACGCTAGCGCTGACGAGGTGGGCCGCCTGGGGCCCGCCTCTGTCGGCGAGCTGGGGTCGGTCTTAGCGCGGCAGCTGCGCCAGCGGGACTTCTCAGGGCAGCGAGCGAGGTCCAGAAGGGGCCCGTGTGGCGCACGTGCCAGGTCCCAGAGGGGGTCCGAAAGTCTCGCCAGGGGCGGTAACATGCGCACAAGCAGAAATTCCGATCCTCGTCATCTGCATGAAGGAGTCGGGGTGGAGAGACTGGCGACGGCGGCGGCGAGGCTGACGGAGGCGGCGGGCACGATCATCATCGCGAACGCGATCCCCCGTTCCGGCAGCGGTGGCAGCCGCGCGCGCGGCCATGTTTCACGCGCGCATTCGCGCAGCGTCCCTCACGCGATGTTCAGTGTTTGCGACTGTGTGCGCCGCGGCTTCAGCCGCAGTCTGGTCGGGGTCCCAATCGGTGTCGCCATCGGCCTTCGGGATGCTGGGGTGGCAGTCCGCGCCCGGGTCGAAGTCGGGGCTCTCGTCGATGCTGAGCTGAGACGGACTGGCGATTGGTACCTCTGGTGTCGCTGATCCTGATGGATCCCCAGTGCGGCTGGGGACGTGATGAATTCTGGGGATAGGTGAAGTAATCCTTGTCATCTCTGGGACGGGCGGGCGAGAGTTCTTCGTGAACCCCCCCCCTGGGGCAAAAGGCGCGCGGTAGCCAGCGTCCCCGCAGGGCTGTTCGGGGCGCTTGCGCCCGAAAGCTGCGCTCGTGCCGTGGCCGCGGTGCTTGCCGAGGGCGCGGCGCCAGCGTCGATCGTGAATGTTGCGTGGTTAGCCTGGGCCGCAAAGCTGGGTGCTTCGCCGAGCAGTCCGATCTCGCTGCCGTCTGCTGCCCAGGCGCGTTCCCACGTCGCGGGCGCGGGGCCCTGGCGGGCCTTGTCGTGCCCCCCGAAGCGTGGTGGAGTGCCTGGTGGTCTCGCCTTTGGCTTTGCTTTGGGCGGCTCCTGACTGGCTTGGCCCCCGAAATCGACGGCCCTGCCCCGAGGAGCGCGGCAGAGGGCCCCTTTGATCCGAAACAGGACACCTGCTCCTAGCAAACCTTTGGATCGCATTGGGATCAAGCACCGACGAGAGGTGGCTTGGCTCTTGCTGGAGCTGGGGCGGCTTTGAAGGGGGTACCCTCATGGCACTCTTTCGTTGGGCTCGCCTGGTTGACGGTTTTGCTAGGCGCGTGTTCCTGGCCGCGGTGTTGTCTTGCGTGAGCTTGTGCACGCGCCTGTCCATCCGCACCCGCTGAGCCTGGTGGTTCGGGGCCTAGTACTTTGCTCCCTCCGTCGCCTGCTGGTGCGTGGTGAGTAACGGGGGAGGGCCGTCCGAGGACGAGTCGCATCCATGCGATGCGTGGCATCTAGGAGTTGGCGCTCCTTGCGAGTATGTCGGTCGGGCCTGGGGAGCATTTGTCTTTATGCATTGGCGTGCACTAAGTATGACACTTGCTTGCCAAGACTCTCCACCTAGTGGTGGTTTGGCGCCCGTGGCGGATGCATTATCTTCGCTTGATGGCGGCTTGATGCTTGGCTCAGCTTGAGGTGTCATGCCGTTGCTGGGGCTCGCTGCGCTGCCTCCACCTGGTGGTGGTTGAGCGTTGGCCGTGTTAGCTGCCTCGAGTGTGTTGGCTGTTGATGTCCTCCTTTCTCTGCTCCGCGACCTTGACACTGATCTTCTGCGCTGAATTCCGAGGTACCAAGATACAGGGGCGGCGAAGCGGAGCCAGCTGGGCCTGCCAGGTGGTTTGTAGGCCGTCATGCCGCGCAGTGTGGGGTGCAGACAGGAGTTGGCGATGATGCCTAAGAGCTCGAAGATTCCGCAGCTGTTGTTGCTCCTGTGAGGACGTCAGATTAGCGAGCTGGGGTTGAGCGTCTGGTCCCTCCATATGAGTTCGACGTCTGCCCATCGGTTGACACCCTCGTGGACATTGCGCGCCAACGGTTCCGGAGGGGGAGGGAGAGGGAGGGGAAGGGAGAAGAGAGACGCAGATGGAAAGGTGGAGGGAGACGGAGTGAGAAGAGGGCGCGAGAGAGGGAGAAGCAGAGCGAGAGGGAGAGGGAGAGGGAGCCAAAGGAGGGAGGAGAAGGATCTTCAACAGTAGTGCTGAGCAGCGGCAGCAGAAGCTGGACAACCGGAGGAGTGAGGGTGAGTTGGAGGAGAAGAAGAAGCAGCATCAGCAGCAACGGCAGCGGCAGCAGGAGGAGCAGGAGGGGGAGGAGTGATCGAAGAAGAAGAAGAAGCATCAGCATAAACATGAACGTTCGGAAGACCGCTCGGATTTCTTGGATCGGCGCTGGGATTCCCTGGCGGCGCCTCCGTCGCCAACCCCGGCGCGCTGCGCGCGCCACGGAGGGGAGTCCGGCGCCGATCCAAGACATCTGCGCGGAGCTCTGACAGTTTATGTTTTTGGTTTCCTTCAAATGATGAGTGGCGGGAGGAGCGAGAAGGAGTGAGAGAGGCAACGGGAAGAATCAGCAGGCAGGCAGCAGCCGCAGAAGGAGCAGGAGCGGAAGCGAGAGAGCAGGCCCAGAAGCTGAAGGACCCCTTGTTCCACGCGCGGATCCGGCGCACACTCGGCGCACCCGCCGGGGGCAGCAAGGAGTTCACGGGGTTCGTGGAGGAGGTGGAGCAGGCGTTGCGGGGGGCGAGGGTCAAGCCGGCGCGTGCCTTCAGACACACACTCCCGCAGTCCCGCAATTGTGCGTAGCACCTTGTGAGAATCCAGTACTTATGCGCCACCAAGCCGAGGACCCAGGATGGGTATCGCACCTGCAAGTGTCCGACTTACGTAGCAAGAGTCCGACTGAGAGAGGAAGAGACGACCTGCCCGCGTTCCCCTCCGAGCCGACGTGATCTGAGTTCTTCTCGGAGCTCGCCGCGGACCAGGGCCACGCATGGCCACGGCCGATGCCTCGTTGGAGCAAGGGAGGCCAGAAGGTGTAATTGGTGGACCCAGACCCCGGCGATCCGGATCATCGCGCTAAAAGTTTCTCGCCGTTGTTGCATCTTTTGCGCCCATGTCCAGGCCCCAGGTTCATCAAAACATGACTGCATGAGGATTAGAAAGCCCTCTGGGAAATGGTCCAGAGCTCCGTGGGGCCCACGGATTGAAGAGATCAATCCGCCATGCGTCTGGGGAGGAGCTCCCGCGACGTCCTGCCAGCTTCAGCTTGCCTTCGGGCACCACCTCTTACGGAGTTGTCTTGGCTCGTTGGTTCCTGCTCGTCACCCCTCTTCTCCTTTCCCTCTCCTCTCGCTTCTGCCAGTTACGCCCTCGTGCGCAACCTCTCCACCCTCCCCCGCCCTAAGCCTCGAAAGAGCAGCCCTCCTCCTTCCTCCTGGCTCCCTCCTCCCTCCTCCTTAGCGCCCCAGGGTCGCCTGGCGTGGGGGCCTTCCTGACAGCGCGAACGGTGGTGCCGATCACTATCGGGGGAAACTGCGCCCCGGGCAACACTTTTGACAAGAGGTGGTCGCCCCGCTCTGCCACGGGCTACGCTAGGACGGCGCTCCTGATGCACTACTCTACTGCTCGAGTCTTTTCGGCCCTGTGTCCCTCCGTCCTCACGAGTCTTCGTGAGACTCCTTCATCCTTCCCCCCCGATGATTACCGCTCTCTCCTCCCTTGCTGGGCCAGTCGTGGGACGAACCCGCGAAGGTGAAGGGTACCGGGGAGATCCTCTACCGCGTGCAGTACTCCGACGGCGAGCTGGAGCATTATACGGCGGATCAGGTCAGGACGTTCCGCGACGGCGTACAGGAGGCTGGCGGCGCTTCTATTATCGAACGGAAGCGGAGGAGGAGGAGGAGGAGGAGGAGGAGGAGGGGCGCCAGCCTCTATATATTGCCCGATGTGTTTTTGGCCGATGTCTTAAGCGAAACCTTTATGTTTGAAGCAATGTCTGTCAACATCAAGGTTTCGCCTGGGACAAACAATAATAGGGGAGAAGCAGAAGTTTAGAGGATGTTTCAAGCGAAATATTTATTGTTGGGAAAGTCATCTGGATTGCTTGTTTGTTAGACATATCCCAAAACAGCTTTCCACACTTACTTGTTGCCCGATGTCTCATGCGAAACTTTGATGTGTGAAGTAACCGGTATACAAGTCAAGGTTTCTCCTAGGACGCAAGGCAAAACACCATAAGGGACAAACGCATGTTTGGAGATCGTAGCACGCGAAATATGATTTAGGGGGAAGACATACTTGGCTTCTTGTTGAACTCGCGAGTTGATTTGCTAGATTTCCGTGTGAAACCTCAAACGGTGATTACCCCAAAAACGTTCAAACCGTCCAGGCCTCGATGCAGGCTCCAGTCGGAAGGAGGGGCGCCAGCCTCTATAAAGGCATGGACGGTTTCAGCGTTTGTGTTTTCGGATTTGGTTGTCGTTATCCCGCTCCCAACCTTACTCACCCATGCATGTTGTATTGTGTGCATCGTTTCAGCTCATGTTGTATCGTGCTCACTGCTTCCTACTTTTCCTCGTACTCCTCCCCGCCCTCCCAACCTCGTACTTTACACCCTCGTACTACATCCTTCCACTGCACCTCCACTCCCTCCCCACTTTCTTCTCACCGCTTGTTCTCGCAATCGCTCTCACCGCCTTTCCTCCTGCTCATCCCCGCGCTCGCCTCCTCCGTGCCCGCCTCCCCATCACCATCATGAACATCATCATGTATCATCCTCATCAATCTCAGCGTCCCTCTTTTTCCCTTCATCCTCATAACTACCAACACCACCAGCATTATCATGATCGTCGCACTCACTTGCACCACCATTTTCACCACCATCACCAGTATTATCATCATCGACCGCCACCGTCACCACCACCACCAGCATCATCATCATCATCATCATCATCATCATCATCATCATCATCATCATCATCATCATCATCATCATCACCGTCACCACCATCATCATCAACATCAACATCATCCGTAGCCATGTTGGCTCAAGCTGGTCCTGAGGCTCGCTTTGGGTTGGGGCGGTTTTGCGCCCAGGTCGCAAACTTGTCCGAATAGACGCGCAGGCTTGTACTGCACGTCGTGCAACACATCGGCCCAATTGGAACATGGTCAGGGGCAGGACGCTACTTGTTCAACATCAAAACAAAAGCTTACCTTAGCTGTGCCCTCAGCATAGCTGCGCCCTCAGTATGTCCGGACGATGCGCAGGAGGGCGGCGGACACCCCTACAATTCGAGAGTACGTTGAACCAAACGACCCTGAGGCTCGCAGCCAGGACTGATTCCAGCGTCAGAAAAACCATGCCCTCGATCTCGTTCGCCAATCGCACATTGAGGAGATGCGGGACTTCGCGGCCGCCCGACTTGGGCCGAATGACCCGCGCCGGAGGGCTAGGAAGAATCACGTGCGAAGGAAACTCAAGCAACTTGTCCCTAGCGCCAGCGACACCATCAAGGCCGTAAAGGGCGCAGAATACGGCATGTGCGCGTCCCCCGAGGAGATCGCCAGATCGACCGTTCTCTCCAACGCCACTGGAGAAGAGTGCTTAGCAGTAAAGCGATCGACGGCGAGCTACTACAGCAGTGGCTCAGCTCTTTGCCGCGCATCACCAACCAGCAGCACCAATCGACGCCGGCGCAACCACCCTGCCCACCTCGCGCACCGCGCTCGGGCGCACCGGCAACGCCATCATCACAAGCACCCCCGCATCCCCCTCCGACGCCCACCCCCCTCCGCCGCCCGCGCTGACCGCCAATCCGCGCGCGCCCGGCTGCTGCTGCGAGGCGCGGCCGCCCGCCCAGACTTCCAGCGGGGGCACAGAGCCGGCGCGGGGTCCGGTTGCCGACCCGCGATTGAGAGTGGAGAGTCGGCCACCAGGACATGGGGCATGCGACTTCCCATAGCGGGAACACCATGCTGGGGCCCGACCGCATCCCGTTCCAGGCCTGGAGACAGCTGGGTCCGCTCGTCGTGGACACCCTCACCAGGGCGGCGCGGGCGCTCGAGCGCGAGGATGCCGAAGACCTCTTGATTGATGGCTGCCGCGACGAGTCCGACGAACTCGATCACCTCCTCAACTTGAGCACGCTGGTCTGCCTGCCCGAGAAAGCAGCGGGCACCGCGGACAGCAACCTGCCCTTCGAGGGGGCACGATCCCTTTCGACGGTAAGCTACGACTACCGCCCCATCGCGAACGCGGAGCGCCAGGGGTGGGAAAGCCACCTCTCGGGCTGGGCCCCAGAGCGCCGGCGGGGCTCCCCCCCCAAGCGTTCCACCGTCACTGACCTCATCGGGCTTGAGACGGACGTGATGGTCGTGGCGCTGACCCGAGATAACGGGGCTTGCGTCTTCCTGGGTTTCGAGGCGGCTTCCCCGTCAATAGAGCTTGGAGCGCATCGCTTTGCCCTCCGGCGCGCTGAAGGCGGCCCGCGACCTGCGCGACCTGCGCGACGGCGCCTCGTGCCAGACGGCGGCCGACGGGGGGGCGCACGAGGGCTTCAATCCGGCAGCTGGGGCGCGACGAGGGCGCCCGCTTTCGCCCTTATCGCGCGCGGTCGTCGCAGCGGCGCTGCTCGACAAGATGCGCGAAGTCTTGCTCCGGAGCGCGGCGCTTCGCTCGCGCAAACGACGCCGCCTTCGTGATCGACGACGTTGCGGAGCAGGGGCCCCGGGTGGCTCGCTCGTTCGGAGGGTTTGCCCGCGTCTCCGGCCCGGGCCTCAACTTCGACAAGCGCATCGCCATCCCGCTCGACGGCGGGGGCGCGACGGAATTCAGGCGACAGCTTGCCGGGGGCGTTCCCGCATGGGGCCGAGCGCAGGTCCAGTTGCCGGGCAATTATCTCGGCTTTATGATCGGACCCGCGAAAGGGGGGGGGATTTGGAGAGAGCCGATTGAGAAATGCGTCTCGCGCCGTCGTCTTCGCGCAATCTTGGCGCGGGTTTGCAGCGCGGCGCCCTCGTCTGCAACGCGTTCGTCGCATCGGCGCTGACCTTCGCCGCGCAGCTGGAGAGCCTCCTGGGCGAAGCCCTGGCGAGAGAGTCGTAGGCGCAGCAGCGATGGGGCCCTGGGCGCGGCTCATCAACTAGGACATGCACGCACTTGGGGAACGTCTGGCACGGCGAAATCCTTTCGCTCCCCGGCCTGGGCGGCCCTCTCGGCGAGGCGCAGGGTAAGTTGCTTTGGCCGTGCACGCAGCCGGGGGCGTCTGCGGGTGACCGGTGCTGTCCGGCAGGCTCGCCAGGGCTCGTGGCCTGGGGCTGCGCCCGCATATCCTCGTGGAGTGGCGCGAGCGGTTCATTGGCGCATTCGCGCTGAACGTCGCGCGGGCCCAGGGCTACGCGCCGCGCGTCTTGGGAGGGATGAGCAACCGGCAAGCTACAGAAAGACACGGCCGACCACGTTGGCCGACTGAGCTTCCAGGACGTCGTCTACCAGGGCGCCCTGACCAAGGAGGCCCCCCGCGCTCTGACGCGGGCGCGGCACGAGCTCCATCTCCGCCATATGTGGGGCGCCCCCCTATTCCCGCAGACGCCGGGCGCCGGCGTCTTGCAGGTCGCGCCGCACTGCGGGGCCCTCCAGACCCTCCAGCAACTTCAGGGGTCGAGGGCGGTTGCGGCGCCGCGCGCGCACTCGTCGGTGTTCAGTGCAGCGTGGAACAGATGGACCACCCGCCGCCGCTTCCAACAGCGCCGCGCTCCGACCAATCGCTGCCTGCTCGGGTGCCCGCCCGGGGCCGAGGATTCGATTGATAATTTTTGCCGATGTCCATTGGCGGCCCAGCCGCTGCAACGGCGCCTCAACATGGACGCGCCGATCTTCGGCAACATCCGCACTTTGATGCCCGCCGACCTTCGCATCGACGATTGCGAGACGCTGCGCAGTGCAGGGCTGCTGATCTTCGCGGCGCGCAGCGCCGTCGACAGCAGCCAGCGCAGCGAGGTGGCACCCGAGGCCTCCTTTGACTGCTTATGCCAATCCTTGCGGGAGGCGGCCAAAGAGCACAATCGCTCGACGACGGTGCTCGACGGCCCCATCCAGCGGGCGCGGGGCGCCAGGAGAACGCGAGCGCTCTCTCCCCCCTGTGCCAGATCTACGGCCGCGGCGCGTGATGCCCTCTCTCTTCCTTTCCCCTCTTCCCCCCCTGCCCCCCCCAGCTGGCCGGGCCGCCGGCGCGCGTGCCCAGAGCGTTCGATTAGAGCGCGCAGTCGCCCAGTCGCCCGCCCCTCCGCTGGGCGGCGCCGTCGCCCCTCCTTCCGCCGTCCCGCGTCGTTCCCCGCTCCCCCCTCTCCCCCAGTTCCGGGCTCGTCCCGGTCCTGGGCGTTGTTCCTTCCTTTGCCCCCTGCTGCCGCTGCTCTTCCCGGTCGCCCACCCCGCGGGCATCGGGGCGGGCGAGGCGCGCGCGCAGATGCATGGATGCGTCGTTCCTTTACTTAATTCCGGAATGCAGATTTTGCAAAAGCGCCCGCGTGTCCCTCGCGCGCCCCGCGTCCGTGACAGGTAGTGTCGACGGCGCGGGGAGGGGAATGATTTGTGCGTCCACTTTCGGGCGTCACGAAATACTTCCGCGGCCGGTCTGGCCGTCCACCGCTCGCCCCTGTGGCGTCTGACATTATATTGTGGCCTGCGCGCGTGCGTGGGGGGGGGGGGGCAGGATTTGCGCTCCCGCTCGCGCGTTCGTCATCGCAGGACAATGCTCCCGCAGGCCGCGGATGCCTGTGGACGGCGAGTCCGATCAGGGCCCTCGCGGTGCCGCTCGGTGCGAGCGCGCAGTCGCCCCCCCCCCCCTCCTCTCTTC